CAACGTTTTTTATAAAAATGTTGCGGTAGACACCTTTAGCAACGTTTATTGAGTGTTGCGAAAAGTTTTACCTTTAGCAGCGTTTATCAAACGTTGCGAAAAGTCTTAGCAACGTTTGATAAACATTGCTAAAAGTCTTACCTTTCGCAACGTTTGATAAACGTTGCTAAAGATGACTTTTAGCAACGTTTGGTGAACGTTGCAAACGTTGCGGAAAGTCTTACCTTTAGCAACATTTATCAAACGTTGCTAAATGTTTTACTTTTGCAACGTTTTTTGAACGTTGCGAAAAGTTTTGTACATTTTTCCCAAATTAAATTATATACGGGCACAAATGATAGAAATAAAAAATAACCCAAACCCTAACACTCCTTCCATTCATTCCTCTCCGCCCTCGATGCCAATCCGGCGTACATCTACTGTGAGGAACTTGGAATTTACACTCCATAATCCCGTTTCCTCCTCCTACAAAATCCTCTACATTCATTCCTCTCCCGGCCTCGATGCCAATCCGACGTACATCTACTGTGAGGAACTTGGAATTTACACTCCATAATCCCGTTTCCTCCTCCTACAAAATCCTCTACTGTAAGGAACTTGGAATTTGATAATCCTTTTGTAAAAACCCTCCAACCAGCGTTTCCAGTTCTTGGGGCTGCTATTCAGCCTCATAATTCAATTCAGCCTCCACGATTCAGCCTCATAGTTCGATTTAGCCTCCGCGATTCAACCTTGTTCGATTCAACCTGGTCTGTCCTTGCCACCAGTCCGCCATGCTTGCCACCGCCACTCCGCCCATCGCCCACTGCTAGTCCAAAGGTCAGTTTTGCTTTGCTTTGCCTAAAGTTCAATCATTATTTGATTCTGGAATTTCAAAATTCGAAATATATTTGTGATTTGTTGGTGGACGTGTCAATTGGTTGGTGTACTAATGAGTAATGCTTTTCCATCTTTTTCCTTAACTTCAGTTTAATTGCAGGAATGGCGAGCACAGCAGATTGCCAATGGAGAGGCTAAAGATAATGCTAATTTTGAGCCACTGGGAGGTGATTGGTATTGAGCCTGGACTTTCTGGATATCACACTAGTATATGAAATTTTAGGAATTATTAGTATTTAGCCTGAGTGATACATATTGTTAGATACCTGGTCCTGACCCCTTTTTACATCACTAGCCTATTCTTGTAGTTGTATGGTGAAATGGGGTGTTTATATAATGCTAGGAAAATATTTGAAGAAATGTCAGTGAGAGATATGGTTTCTTGGAGTTCTATAGTATCTATTTATGTGCAGAAAGGGGAGTTCTATAGTATCTATATAATTGCTGTATTTTTCAATGTTCTAAACTCACACTAAAACTTTTTGGACGTTAAAGGATGTGAAACAAATATCAACGAGTTTACTGAAATAGAACATCTTTGAAGTTCTCAGCTCTTGTTCCTCTTTGCTATAGCATCATTAAATTGAAAAGAGCTTTACAATAGAGAAAGAAGACACTTGTTTTTGCGGTTGCAGGAATGTCATTCATGGCAGTGATGCGGTGGAGAGTGCAAGGAAAGAGATTGCTCTATGGTTTCCTGAAGGAATTGCTGAATGGAGGAGCGGCCTTCACCCCTGGATCTATGAATAAATTTCTTTCTTGAGTTGAGCTAGCAACTCTGTATGGTTCATTTTGTAATTGAATGGGTAGGCATATGTATGGTTATAATGATACGTGCTTTCAAATCTTAATTATCTGCCCTTATATATAGGAATAGTGGTCATATTTTTCTTTTTCCTCTTCTTAGTTACATTTAGGGGAGTCTTCATCATTGATTTAACTGTCGGATTCTGGAAAAGTTATTCAATGACAAATATAATTAATACTTCATACAGTTATCAGCACTGAAAAGTAAAAAATATATGGCATAGGTTTGTCAAATAAAATTGCAGACTTTATCTTTTAAACTTCCAATTTTTTAGATTGTTTAGTAACTCAATGTTGATTTGCAAATATGGCAGATTAATCAATACATAAGTTTTGTTGGCTGTTTGTTACAGCTTTGTAACAGCAGAAATCGAACCACAACAGAGAAGAGAAGAACTGGACAGTAAAAACCGAGAGACAGGGGAAAAACAGGGGAAATCTGGGAAGAAACTGGAAGAAGAAAAACAGAGTTGCTGG